AGCACCACATACAAACAAAGATGTTGTGTCTGCCAAAAACTAAAAAAAAAAAAAAAATGCCAACTGAGGAAAGGTCTTGTGATATTTGATTTGCTATTCAAATGTTTTATGCATTGATAAAAACATATTGAGTGTCAATTTTAGACAGGAGAAAGTAGATAGGCACATCAGCAAGAGAAAATGATAATTGAGAGTAATGTAAACATAGAGCTGATGAAATGAAAAAAAGTCACCAAGTATTGCTTCTTTCACAGTAGAAGTAAAGCAAGCAAAGTTTATGCACTCTTTTTATTTTCTGTCTTATTTCTCTTGGAAAATTTGGGGTCTCTCACATTGTTTCAACTACTGAATTGTTTGATTGCAGTATGTTTGGCACACATTTTTCATTTGAATTTTTTTGTTCATCTAATTGTTTTTGGCTTACCAGGATTTGCCATGGCAGATAATGGGGGAGAAACATTGGTAATTTAGGTTGTTCATCTTATTTTAAGAGAAACTTCAAAAAGGGACAGGCTCTTTTTCTTTCTTTTTAACCAAAACAAGAGAATAGAAGTGCCCTTCCTTTGTTTTCTAATATTTTGTAAATGTTTGGTTTAGTATATTTCATAACTTTTCTCTTTCCCACATTTCCACCGGGCTTGTAGGAGAATACATGCTTTTGAAGACTTGGCAAATGGGCTCTACTGAAGGAACCAAGACTGGAACCCCCTGGGGTTATGCTCTTTCAGAATCTCTTCTCCACCAGTAGAATAATATGACAAAGCTTTTTTGTTGTTGTTGTCCATGTTTTGATTATGTTGTTTATATATGATTCTTGCCAGCTTGGTTGCTGTGCAGCATCTTTCGATCGCTGTCTCTGGAGAAACAAGCTTTCAGGAATTCCTAAGCCATGATAAATGTGCTGGCAACAGCCTGAGTAATCCTGGAATGAACTCATGGTCCCCAGCTGAGCCTCAGCATAGGGACCCAGGCCACAGGTGGCTTTGGCAGCAGTGTTGTAGAACTTCCAGGTTTTCTACTCACCTGTGAGATTTCTACTGTGGGTCCTTTTGAAGTGCTGAATTTGTAGTACTTAGTTACATGGCATTGGATATTACTACAGAAGATCCCTGACTGTACCTCCCAAGTGGAAACTTTGTAAGGAATAGCATTAAGATCCAGCAAGCTTGACATCAATTTCCTTTTGGCTCTTTAGTACCTGGAAATCTAGAGCACTAAGTTCCTTATTTTTCCTCTTAATGAGAGCAGTTTCCTTCTGAAGTAAACCCTCGTGAGCTTATCAGTTTGTATCTATTTTTTTATTCTTTGTCACATACATTATCTATGGACTGAGACCTCTAAAACCCTCAGCCCCCAAATAAACTTTTCTTCTACTGATATTGTTCTTATCAGTCTTTTGTTTACAGTGGTGAAAAAGATGACTAAAATAGATGGTGTCCTTTTTTTAAAATTAATATCAAGATTTCAAGGACGTAAATGTATTGCTCTCCTGACATGTCAAATATATAATGGCTAAAGGTGGTTTCATATCTTACTCATCCAGGACCCATTTAAGATTGTTTAAGTGAGTAACTATAAGAAGGAAAACATGGTGAAGCATAATCAAAGGCTCTTACATGTTTTCACTCATGATACAACAGTCTTCTATATTTCACAGTCAAAAGGGTCATAGATATATATCTATAGTAATTAATATGCAAAAAATACCAAAATTGGAAAACAAAACATCCTAATTTTTATGGATCATATTTCAGCACCAAAGCCAGCATTTATTTAGCTTTGTGATCTTGGGGATGACACACTGTAAACTGTATTACCCAATCTCCTTTGCAATAAGTCCCTGATAGACATTGACAATGAGAAGCACTACAGAATAATTAGAAAGTATAAGAGAACACAGGGATTCATTTTATCCATTTTTTGTTTATTCTGAGTGTCTGTCTCTTGGCCCTAGAAAAAGCACATTACTTCATAGAAGAATTGGTCTCAGGCTCCATCTTATATTCTCATTCATAGAACTAGCTTTATCATAGGACTTAGCTGTGTAAGCAACAATAGACAGTGCTCCATCTTCCCAGATAAGAATGCTAACTCTGTGGGGTCCCTGCACTAAGTTCCCAAGAACTGAAAGTTTTCATAGAGTATCACAATTCAAAAGCACCAATTTCATCTAGCAACTACTCCCAACTCCTGTGTTCTGTGAGAATCCACCTCTTTCCCCAGAATAGATAATCCAAGAGACAAAGGCAAAAGCATGAATGCCATGTGATCATACTCAGGGTCCATGCATGTGTACATTCCTTTTTTCAAACTTCCTCTGTGAATAGGTATTTATTAACTTGGAATTACCTCCATGTTCCTTTTTTTGTTTTTCTTTTCTCTCTCTCTCTCTCTCTCTCTCTCTCTCTCTCTCTCTCTCATCTCTATCTCTATCTCTTTTCCCTTTTCTAACCTGAAAAAAAAATCCCCTGTGTAAAATTTGTTCCAACAATAGTTCCCTTTTCCTTTCTAGACCCTAACTTATGAAAAACTATAATATTAATTAATATTGATATAATTAATACCATGTGTGGTATTAATACATAATCTCCCCATTAGGCACTACATCTCCTCTTTAACATTGATCCAGAGGTAAACTAACTACATTTACTGACTAGCCAGAGAGGTATTCAAACTCATATTGAAGGTTTTGAACTTACAATAATTTTACCTGATCTATATTTCACCTGGCTTCATTGAAGAGAAACCAAGTATGGTTTTCCCTTGAGGTTCATTGGGCTTTGAGTCTTTGATTGACACCTTTTATTTCATTTTTTTGTGATTAATATTTTTTATGATATGGGGTCTTGCTATATAACTCAGGTTGACCTTAAACTTATGATCTATATAACGCATTGGGCTGTTATATATAAATAAAAAAATTAATTAAAAAGAATAAATCTTCTTCATGATTTAAAGGACATTTATACAAATATCTGGATGTGCACTAAAAAATCTTGCTTAATTATATTTATATTTTAAGTTACTTCCTAAAATTTGGTTATGCCATTAATTTCTGGCTATCATATTCACATGTAAATAATTTAGATTTTGAGTTTGGAGGGATATTATAAGAGATAAATATGTTTGACACCGCAAATCACATAATATGAGTTAATTTTAGAATTTTCAGTGATTAAAGATTGTGAACAACATTCTAGCTACACGTTCACCTCTGAATTCTTCTTTTGGAAAGGAGAATGAGAAGGCTCTCTATAGCCCATACACTTGGCACAACTTAGTTTTCCATACATTATTTGAATACCATTTTAAAGTCAACATTTCAGTTTCCCCTATAGACACCCTGCAGCAAGGCTATTAATTAACTTTGATATTTTGTTTCTAGAGTTAATGATGAAAATAGTCATTAATATATTTTCCCATAAGAATCGCCAAGAAACTATACCAGTTCTGAGTAAATATGCTCTTTATATTAAAAGTGGAAATATAATGTATATCAATGTGAAGAGAAAATTGCTTCATTCAAGTCAGAATAAGAAACTGTAGCTAATTTTTAAAAAGAACATAAAAATAAGCATCAATAATAAAATAGTACAGTTTTGATAAAAACAAACATCTTAGATTTCTAGGTTTTACGTAAGGCTGAAACTGGAGGTTAATCATTTGATTTCTAGAGAAGTCAGAATAATGTGTTTGAAAATGAGGCACATATGCTGACTGGAGAGAGATACTCAAATGTTTATGTATGTTTCTAAATATCTCTGGATTTTAATGTGAACACAGTCTCTGTTGAAAGGGAAGCAAAAGAAAAGTATGGGTTAGAAATGAATTTTTATAAGACTTTAAAAAAACACGCCTAATATATATTTGATCATAGTAAAAAGAGATTTTCACAATGCATCAGCAAAGAAAACCCCTGGGGAATTTATTGAAAGTAAGTATTTCTTCTATTTTGTTGTTTTGTGCACAAAAGAGTTTTCATATAAACCAATAGATTCTGAATATGTGACTATAAGTTTGAGTCAGTTAAACTCAGATTTAGAGATACAAAGAAAATATTTGTGTAACTCATGATGAAAGATTCAAAGAACATATTTGAAAGAGTTGTATTTTTCTATTAGAGTAGCACCATGAGCAATAATTCTCAAAAATGTATATTAAAAATAGTACTGATACATATTCAATTTTCTCTACTAAAGGATTTAATATTTTAATATTACTGAATATAAATTGTTTATTATATAGATAAAGCTAATGATGCTTTGAAACTTATTGAAGAATTGGGAAAAATATTGCAAATTCCATGTAAATTTTCAACTGTTCATTTTATTTACCACTTTGGCAAATCATATTGTATTTAGTCTTAAAATTCATAAAAGTTATTTTTTTCTTGAAAAAGTTATAGTGGCCACTAGCAAAAACCTCAAAACTAACCATACATATATCATAAGGAAATAATCCTTTAGAAAAGATTGATTGCAAAATGTCAGTTTTTATTAGCTAAACATTTTGGAATACAGATATATCCAGAGAATATACATCTTTCTGAAAGGAACTGAGCAGAAGATGATTTTAACAATAGGGGAATTAACCTTATTAACCTAAAAAATGTTTTCCTGTTTAATGGGTGAGATTGTAGGAGTTAGGTCTGCATATATTAGGAAAACTAGATAAAGTGTGCAGATATTTCTAGCAGGAAATTAGAAAGCCATCCTTTTGTAAAGTAATACATATATATTTAGGATATATATATCCTAAAAGAAAATTAGGAAAATGAGTATCCAGAAAGGAGATAAGAGTAAGAGGGGTTAGCCTGTGGTCTGACTGCTGCATAAAATGTGAAAACTCTCGAAGGAAAGCAAAGCACATACACATCTACTAAGTTGCTGGGTTCTTCATTATCAATTCAAACTCTGCACTTGATGTAACCTTATTATTGCTTAATTATTTATCACCTTCACCCCCTTGCAGGTCAGATGGCATCTTAACAGAACTGAACTATGAGGAACCACACATTAGTGACAAACTTCATTATTGTAGGACTGATAGAGGACCCAAATTGGGAAATTGTAGTTTTCCTTTTTCTATTTGTAACATATCTTTTGAGTATTACAGGAAATCTTACCATCATCCTTCTGACCTTGCTGGATCCCCACCTCAAAACACCCATGTATTTCTTCCTAAGAAATGTTTCCTTCTTAGAAATCACACTGACAACTGCCTGCATCCCTAGATACCTGGTCAGCATAATCACTAAGGACAAGACTATTTCCCTTGATGCTTGTTTGGCACAGGGACATTTTACTCTTCTTATAGGTATAACACAGTTTTTCCTGTTGGCAGCCATGTCCTATGACCTCTATGTGGCCATCTGCAAACCCCTTCATTATGCAACCATTATGAGCAGCAGAGTGAGCCACCTGCTGGTTGCTGCTGGGGTAGCAATCTCCCCTGGAGTTATTGTGAGTTTGACACTGGAGTTCTGTGATGGCAATGTTATTGAACATATTTTCTGTGACTATTCTCCTATCCTCAAACTCTCCTGCACAGACACACATGACTTAGATTTGTCAAATTTTATTTTAGCCATTATCACCCTCTTGAATACACTGGCTCTGGTATTGTTCTCTTATATCAAAATCATAACAACTGTTATGAAGATCCCTTCTGCCCAGGAGAGAAAGAAAGCTTTTTCCACCTGTTCCTCCCACCTGATTGTGGTCTCCATCTCTTATGGCAGTTGTATTTTTATGTATATAAAACCTTCTGCAGAGGAAAGGATATCTTTAAACAAGGGGGTATCAATGCTTGCTGTTTCCATTGCACCTGTACTAAATCCTTTCATTTAATCCCTAAGAAATAAGCAAGTGATACAACCCCTGAGGGATCTAGTAAAGAGATGTACCTTTACAACTTTGAAATAACAGCTTTGGCCTTTGTAAAAGCATATTACTGAAAATTAGTGAAAACTACAGCCTGTACCAGCTATCTTTATAACACATCCTTTTAATTTGTTTGTTTTATATTATGGCAGTCATGAAAATCACCCATAAGGAGACTTTAATGTCCATCTGGGTATTTTTCTTTTTAATAACTTGATGAATCCCCATGGTATTCTTTCTTGAATTGCTCAAATCACTTTATTACTTAAATGTATTGTGTGATTCTTTGTTCATCAAAATATTCCACTATGAATTCTTATTAGAAATATCACACATGGTTTTCTACAACAAACAAGCCCACTTGTAACTCTGTAAATATTATCTTATTTCATTTTATCAATATCTAAGAAAGACTGCTTTATTAGCAACACAATGTTAATATTTTATTAAAATATGTGATGTTGCAGGAAGCTAACCTGCCTTCCACCTTCTCTTCCTATTTCTCTTCCCTCTTGCCTTCTGTATTTTTTCTTCCTTTCTTATTTTTTGAACATTTAGGATGACAGATATTTGCATATACTTTCTTTCTCCTCACTTTCTGTATGTTTTCTATCATCTTTTTAAAACATTTTTTCTTTGTTTCTCTTCTATCTCAGTTAAATATCTAAAGGTATATTCTTGTAATGGTGAGTATTTTATATAGCTCCCACTACAACTTTTTCATACTATAGACTGGTATCCCATGTCTTTATGCATTTAATCTCCACAACTAAAGAAAACAATAAACAATTTAGTCATCAACATGGTGTGTGCCCTCCAGCCCCCATCCTGTGTATGTGTGTATTGTATCTATGAGAATCCAACGAATCACCACCAGTACTCATCAATTATGTGCAATTTTATTGTTCTTTTCATGAGTGTGTCTGTATGTTTTGAAGATATGTGATCAGGTTCTAAAATACAACTGATTCACATTAAAATAAATGGGGATAAAAAATTGGCTGTACATTTTTTTGTGGGCAAAAAAATATATTCTCCAATTTGAGAACAAAGGAGGAATTTTGAAATGTTTATCATTTTTAAATAGACCTATTTTTTTGAACTTATTTCCTTGTAGATTTTATACTGATTATATTAAAATTTTTCTATTGATGCACAATAATTATACATAATAGTATATTATGCCATATTATGGAATAATAGTGTATTGAGGCATATTCATACATGCACATAACATAATTTGATCAATTTCATTCCCCAGTTTCTGTATTTACCCTCTAGTCTTCTCTCCACCCAATGTCCTGCTTCTATCCTACTAGTTTTCCTTATATTTTCATGAGATGTCTATTTTTTCTTTTTTTCTCTCTCACTTCCACATATGAGAGGAAATCATGAGATCCTTGATTTTTGTATTTGGCTTATTTCACGTGATATGACTCTCTCATTCCATCTATTTTCCAGCTTATCACATCATGTCCTTTCATTATTTTTTGTTGTTAAAAATACACACACACACACACAAACACAATCTTTTTCATTCATGTATACTCAAATTCTAAGGCTGATTGTTTCAGTAGAAATCTCTGTAATTTTGAAAGAAGATTTGGAGAAGTAAATATCTGAGTCTATGGAAAAGAGATTGACATACATGCTAGGAGTAACATTACACCTGGATGGGGACAGAAGCACTTGTGAAGAACAAATGCTAAAATGGAGGTTCATATTCCTTTGTAAAGGCTGAGAATCAGAACACCACAGAGTGCCCCTTTTCTCGGCTCCCCACCCCATGCATAGTAGCATCCTTTGAGTAGTCATAATAGTAAAATACAGCCAACAGAGAGACAAAAAGACAGATTCATTTTGGAAACAGTGCAAAGAGAAGAGCCAAAGTCAAATGAGAAGAAAGAATCCAAATGGAGGCATATATCTGTACCCACCCTCCAAAATAACTTTGATGAAATATTCTGCCCCCAAAATATAAGTATTACTAAGAAATGCCTTTCTTGTAGTTACTGAAATTAACCACAGTAATAGCAAGCTTGAAGCAGAGCCCATCTCCTGGCTGGATTATGCAAATGTCCTCAAGAAATATTCAAAGAATTAATGGCTGATAATTTTCCAAAATTGATGGCACACACAAAATAACAGACCTAAAATGTTCAGAGAATACCAAGAATTAGAAAACTGTGGAGCAAAACAGACCTAGGCATATTACATGAAAGCTGCCCAACAACTAAGACAAAAGGAAGAAGCACCAGGCTGCCAGAGGCAGAAATTGTTTCAAAGGAACAAGGGTAAGAATCATGGCAGATGCTCATGTGAAACCCTGAAAGACAAAAGATAATGTCATGACATCTTTAAGTTCCGAAAGAAAAAAGGCAAGTTGACTTAGATATTTTCTATACACAGCAAAAATACTCATTAAAACGGAAAAAAATAATTTGTCATGCAAATACAAACTAAAGTTTTTATTTACCAAAATATCTAATGTACAAGAAATGTTAAGGAAAGCCTTCCAGCTAGAAGGAACTTCACACTAGTAAGAATTTGGATCTCTATAAAGAAATAGTTGTAATTGAACTAAATGAAGATAAAAGAAAACTGTCTTTTTAATGTATGGCTATTAAAACTGTGTGACATGTTTAAACACATTTAAAAGTGAATAAAAGACAGGATTTGGTGATATATTGTTACAAAAATCTCACAGTACACTACAAATGTTACTGTTGTTGAATGTTGAATTGAAATGTTACACTAGAAATTGTTATTGTTGTTGTTGTTATTATTATTATTATTAGTAGTAGTAGTAGTAGTAGTAGTAGTAGTAGTAGTAGTAGTATTTTGGGTAGTAGAGATTGAACTCAGAGGAACTCAACCACTGAGCCACATCCCCAGCCCTATTTTGTATTTTACTACAGATGGTCTCACTGAGTTTCATAGTGCCTTTCCATTGCTGAGGCTGACTTTAAACTCATGATCCTCCTGCATTTGATTTAAATGCTGATTAGTTAAAATGTATATTGTACACTGTGAAGAAATCTTTATAAATAAAAAATATGTCATGATATAAATTATATAAACAGAGTGTACATAATAGAAAAATAATGTGTCCATTAAAACCAAGAGAAGGCAGAATAACAGAAAAAGAAGAAAAGGACAAATGGAAATACAGATGATTCCTGACTTGTGATGTTTAGACGTTTTACCTTTATGAAGGCAAAAAAGTGATATGCATTCTCTAGAACCTAGCAAAATTAATATGATACTCTCATGACTCTGGCAGTGGCAGCCAGGTAGCTCCCTGTCAGAGACAAAATCACAGGGTCACCATGTGTAAAAGAGGCTTTGTTACCTAACTGTAAGCTAATGTAATTGTTCTGAGTACATTTGAAGTAGGCAAGGCAGGACTGTGATGATGTTCAGTTGGTTATTTGTATTAAATGAATTTTTTATATGATATTTTTAATTTTCATAAGATTTATTAAAACATAACCCCAATAAATATCAAGGGCATTCTAATTGTCACACTTGTGTTTTATTTTTTATTTTTTTGCCTTATTTGATTAAATACTTTGCTGATAATGTTGAATAAGAGGTGAGAGAGAATATCGTGGTCCTGCATTTCAGGGAAAAGTCTCAAGTTTATCCGCATTAAGTATAATGTTAGTTTTATGTTTATTAGGTGAATATTCTTATTAAGTTATGAAAGATTTCCTCCTATCACTAAGACTTTGAGATGAATCTGGCTTTGTCTTTTTTTTTTTTTTAAGAAGTCTTTCTAAATCACTTGCTATCCAGTAACCATACTGTCTTTTAACCTGGTGATATTTTTTAGCCTGGTGATAAGATTATTTAAAGTTGACATTAAAAATTGAACTAGACTTGAATATCTGGAATAAATTCCATCCATTCTTGACATTTAATTATATTCACATATTGTTAGATATTATTTACTAATATTTTGCTGAGAAATTCTGTCACTATGTTCATAAGAGATATTTGTAGCCTTCCTTCCTTTCAATGACTTTACATGGTTTTTGTATCAGATTAATGCTGGTATTATAGAATAATAAGACATGTGCATTCTTCTTTTATATTCTGAAAAATTTTAGGCAATTCATATGTTTTCATATTTATGCCAATTGAATTCACCAATAAAATCCTTTGGACCTAGTTTTTTGTTTTGAAAAGCTTTTAATGAATGACTCATTTCTTTAATACAGACGAACTTGTTCAGATTGTTCTCTGTGTGGGATGTGACAGCTTCTATTTTTGAGGAATCAAAAGGTTCATTTCATCTACAGTTTCAAGTTATGGGCACAAAGTTTTCATTACCAAGTTTATTACTTTATGATTATTATTTATGATTATTTGCTGAATCAGTAGTGATGACCACTGATTTCTTATTTCATTAATTTTTATCTTCCTTTTTTGGCATATTTTGTTCAATTTAATTAGTATTTATCAATGTTATCAATTTACCCTTCTTTTCCTAAGTATAAATTTCATTAATGTTTGCTTTTTTTCTGTTACTTACTTAATTTTTCTTCTTTTTGCCTTAAAAGTGCTCTTCTGGCAATATTTTATAAATGTCTATAATTTTCCTAAATTTTATATTGCTACACCAGCTTTTTTTTGACTAGTTTGAGAATAATATTAACTTTTTCATTCCTTTACTTTTAACCCAATTGAATCTTTTTACTTAAATTTGGTGTATTTGTAGATTACTTAAATTGGTTTTTCCTCAGAAATTCTCTCTTTTTTGGTGGAAGAATACTGGGGATTGAACCCAGGGACTATTTGCCACTGAGCCACATCCCCAGCCCTTTTTAATTTTTATTTTGGATTCTGCAAAAGTTCTTTATTTTGATCATGCTGGTGAATATATAATTGCATAAATATTATATGTTCCATAAAATTGTGTGAGGATGAAATTTGTACAATTACCTGAGCAAAAATAAAAGATA